TACTATATATATATATATAGTATAATTAGTATATACTATATATAGTATATATAGTATATACTATATATAGTATATATATAGTATATATAGTATATACTATATATAGTATATATATATATATATATATATATATATATATATATATATATATATATATATATATATATATATATATATATATATATTGACGAAGATAAAATTCGCGTATATAACCTATGTGCAATATTTTTATACATAACATTTTTGTACGTCATAATACATATTTTTGCAGTTATATAATGTTTTGGTACGTTGCAAAAACATTCTAATTAACGAATGCTATACTCTTATCTATATATAAAAGAAGATAGTTGCATACCGCGGGAATCAATTTTGCACGAGACTTCAATTATGCATGTTTATGTCATTTTTCACAAAAAAACTTCCCTCTTAAATCATTTCATGCATATTATTTAGATAAACATTTAGAGAATAGAGATTGTCTATATACAGATTATATATACATATCAACTATTTCGGATCTCGTGCCATTACAAATAATATCCCGTGCCTATATTTTGGATCTCGTGCCATTACCATCTTTTATAATATAAGTGGGATATAAGAGACAATTTGATTGGCTAATGCGCGTGCATTGTGACGGAAATCACGCAATAATGCACTGTGTTCCTTGGCACTGCCTTGCTCTTTCTATGTTTTCCCCGCTTCATCTCTGCTTTTTAGCCAAAAATATAGACAAAACTATAGAGCATTTAAAATACAAAATGTATCAGAAAGAAGGAAAGTATAGACCAAAGGAACAAATCAATATTATCTATAGTTCTACGTGTAAAAACAGTATAAAAATTAACCGACTTGGCATTCGTCGAATTTGTTTTTGTTTCGAAAAGAAAAAAAGCGTGCAAAATACTATTCTGAAAATAGTCGAGAAAAAACGGGAAAAAATACAGGAATACCAAAAACATAGAAAAAGGCAACGAAACTGAACATAAGTAAATGAAAGTACCTTCAATGCTTTTGATGAAAACTGCTAAATATATTTTCGGCGAAAGGCAAAAAATACAATAATTTCAAAAATTAAAACTGGGCAACACGACGACACCTACGATTTAACGTCCTTCATGGCAAATCCGACAGCCGAAATGCTTAAATTAAAAACATTAGCAAATCAGTCTGTGTATCACTGCGGTCCCTCCCCCCCAGCATCTTAAACAGTTTCTTCGCAACTTTAGCATCAAAACTTTCTCAAAATTTTGTATTGTTTTTGCTCCTTCGCTCGTTTGAAAATTCAAGCGATTCAAGAGAGAGTAAAAGCATGCGCGTGATGTCACCGAGTGCATGTTAGGAGAATTTCAAAGTTGATCTTTTGAGTAAAATTGTTTACCATGTAATATCTTCTTTTATATTATAAAAGAAATAGAAAAACTCGTCTCGTGCGTTTATGGTGTGATAATGCTCTCGGGGAATGTTGGGAGAACACTCGAGAAGCGTGTAAAACACTTGGCTACGCCTCGAGGGCTATATTTTCCTCATTTTACAACATTTCGCAACCAAACGTTGCAATTTTACTAATTTTAACATGCTCTTTCTATAGCTGTGGTGATGGATTTTGTTCTTTTTAATTGCCTAGATCAAAATTTAGTCTATAAGTGGAATCATCCATTGTCTACATGCATGCATGCAGATTTAGCATTATTTTACAGATAAAGCATTAAACATACTTTTTAAGTTGTTTTTTTTTTACCGATTGAGAAACGTATCGAAAAATAAAAATTTTGATTTTAGTCCGGCATAATCTCATGTGGTATATATACGCATTAGTTTTGAGCGCGTGTTACGTAACATACAAAAAATCTCATTTAAAGATTTGGGAACAATGCTATACCAAGGCAGCATTCACTACCCTGTGGGTAAACTAGTATTACATATCAACTCTTTCCGATGTCGTGCCATTACAAATCTATCTCGTGCCTATTTTGGGTCTCGTGGTGCCATCACTATTAATCTTTTTTTTAGATAAACATTTAGAGAATATTAGGGACTGCTCGCAGTCTAAGAGAATATATAGAGGAAGAAATTGTCTGCATCATGCAGATTACATATACCTGTCAACATTTTAGAATCTCGTGCCATTACAACTATATCTCGTGCCTATTTCGGCTCTCGTGCCATAACAATCTTATTCTTTAGATAAACGTTTAGAGATTATAGAAGTAATTGCAGTCTGCAGATCAACTTTTTCGGATCTTGTGCCATTACAAATCTATATCTCGTGCCTATTTTGGGTCTCGTGCCATTACAATCTTATTGTATTAGATAAGAAATTGCATGTGTATACAGATTATTTTTGTTGTCATAAAAATTATATGAGCCATCAAGAACATAAAAACCAAAATAAACTCTTAAATATGTTCATTTTGGCCAGAGTCAATAAGCTATAAATTGTCATGTTTATTTGCATTGAAGCTTGACGATCTTATCGCGCATGTTATTGAGCGCCAAACGTGCCAGGTTTGGTAATGGAAAGTGACGTTGTTTACATAAAATACATTTTGATCACGTGTACGTCAGGTTTTAAGCAATTTTCCGCATTTTAGAATGTTACACTCGTAAAATTCAATTTATTTTGCAAGATAGAATGAAAGATAATAATTATGATGTAAAGATTGTCCATGCCCACACATTTCATTTTCTCATGTGTATACTGTAAATAAGTAACAGGGAATTTTCATAAATGCAAATTTGAAAAATTTATACTCCTCTTAGCTTGCCGATCACGATTCCCAAAGTTTAGAATTATAGTAACTTTAGCGGGCGAAAATGAATAAATTAGCGGGCTAACATAAATTTTATCGGGTAGGAGTTTTTTTTAAATTTTTCATCGACGAAATGACTGTAAAAATAAAAAAGAGAGGAGATGACAATTATCCAAAATAAACAAGCTAGAATCCATTCCCGAAAACATCGAATTGCTAATAGATCATATTACTGTTGTTGTGCATTAAATAAATGCATAAGTTTTGCTTTATGCACTCGTGTGTGTAGTAATTTTGACAGTTACCGTACCGTATTTACTCGTTTGAGCGCCGCGGCGCTCTTTAAATTTTCAGAGCTTTAGATGCGGCGCTCATTCGAGGGCGGTGCTCAACCGGGGGCGGCGTTCTTTTAAAAAACTTTTATTTGTGAATTATATCAAGAACTTTTAACAATAAAATAAACAAGTTTTGAATGTCTTTATCACTAAATGTCCCCATTTTGACGGTGGAAAATTATTACACTGTTTAGTGCGGCGCTCTTTAAAAAAAAATGATCTCAAATGCGGCGCTCATTCGGGGGCGGCGTTCAATCAGGGGCGGCGCTAGATCGAGTAAATACGGTATGCTATTTTAAATTCCCAGGCGCCTAAAATCTTTTGTCTTTAAAACAATGTCGATTTCTTGGGAAATTCCGAGGTTGCGCTTTTTTTGATACACCCTGCATATGTTAATTATGTAAATAGGGCGAATTTTTAAATAATAAAAAAAAATGCATGGCAGACTGCAGGAGCAGACAATCGTGTGTTTAAACGTTATTTCAATTTCTAAAAGTCTCTTTCGGGGCGCATATATTAGAAAAAGGAGACTTTTAGAAATAACGTTTAAACACAAGATTGTCTGCTCCTGCAATCTGCCATATGCATACTGTACGTAGATTGCACGTAACGCACTCATGGGCATAGCAAAGTGCTCCAGGATTCAAATTATAACAATGTTTGATTTCTAAAGGTCTCCTCCTTTTGTTATACACCCTGCAGTGCTAGGGCATTGAAATTCTAACAATATACGTTGTTTCAATAGTTTTGGGTTTTTTGGGACACCCCTGGTCACAGAATAAAGATCAGTAACAGAAGGGCCACTCAGCGGTGCAACGTCCTCGGTTTTTTATGCAAAAATATGCAGTTTACTGGCCAGAAGGCGGAGCAGCCATGGAGTACAGCGTGTTTATTGGCCAGAAAATGTCATTGACTGGCTAGGAAAATGGCGGCCAGCATGCGTAATGCGACATGCGCGAGGACAGAAACTTCAAAGCTTCCGACGTAAGTGGCCCTCGGATATGGATCTTTATTCTATGCCCTGGTCCTGGTCTAATTAAAATTCTTTTGAATTGGAACACCAAATATTGACTTTGACGTTATAAATTTGGAGCCCCCAGCCCCTGGGAAAACCAAAACCTAGTCTTCTTGTATAATCGGAATTAGCTTGCCAGCAAAATGTAAACAAGGCAAGGGGTCTATTGTCAAGTAAAATAAACATCGTATAATTGAAACCTATCCCATCCTTTACAAAAAGAGTTACTTCACACACACTATATACGTTTAAAATTGTAATACTTTTAAGTGCGGCGCTCATTCGGGGGCGGCGCTCTTTAAAAAAAATGATCTCAAATGCGGCGCTCATTTGGGGGCGGCATTCAATCAGGGGCGGCGCTCGATCGAGTAAATACGGTATGCTATTTTAAATTCCCAGGCGCCTAAAATCTTTTGTCTTTAAAACAATGTCGATTTCTTGGGAAATACCGAGGTTGCGCTTTTTTTGATACACCCTGTATATGTTAATTAAGTAAATAGGGCGAATTTTTAAATAATAAAAAAAAATTCATGGCAGACTGCAGGAGCAGACAATCTTGTGTTTAAACCTTATTTCAATTTCTAAAAGTCTCATTCGGGGCGCATATATTAGAAAAAGGAGACTTTTAGAAATAACGTTTAAACACAAGATTGTCTGCTCCTGCAATCTGCCATATGCATACTGTACGTAGATTGCACGTAACGCACTCGTGGGCATAGCAAAGTGCTCCAGGATTCAAATTATAACAATGTTTGATTCTAAAGGTCTCCTCCTTTTTTTTATACACCCTGCAGTGCTAGGCCATTGAAATTCTAACAATATACGTTATTTCAATAGTTTTGGGTTTTTTGGGACACCCCTGGTCACAGAATAAAGATCAGTAACAGAAGGGCCAGTTTTCAGACCATCCTATTTTGATAGACTGTGCTTCGCCAATGCCTCACGCAAAAAGGGCTATATAAACATAGTGATTTCTAAAACAACATATATACAACATATCGTTATAATACATGCATCAGTATTTACCCTTCAGCCCACACTCTAAAACACTCTGGTTAAATTTTCCCATGGTTAACCTAGAAATAAAGTCTGGTTTACACTATCAAAGTTTCTGTGATCACAGTAGGAATTTTGCATAGGTAAATTCTATGTTTTGAAGGATTTGTATACAGAAATGTTTGAACAAACTGACTCAATGTTAGACACTGAGTCCGTTCCCTCAAACATTTCTAACAAACCTTCAAAACGTACAATTTGCCGATGCAAAATTCCTACTGTGATCACAGAAACTTTGATAGTGTAAACCATGCAGGCTTAATCCTATTTCGGTCAACTATAATATTTCGGTTTAAATTTCTTGGTTATTTTAACGTTTTCCCACTATAGTCTGGTTAAACTGACCAGACTATATGTTGGGTGGATAAATAACCACGGCTCTGGTTATATATCCACCTATAGCATAGTCTGGTTAGTCTGGTTATTTTAACAGGGACGTCCTGGGTCATATATAACCAGTATAATGTAACCACATTAACCAGACTATGGTACGAAGTGAGATAAACTAACCAGGAAATCTAACTAGAAATATGAAGGGGAATTTCAACCAGAGTGCAGTTTTTAGAGTGCAGCTTTGGAAATTAAAAATAGAAAGACATCATTTGTGTAACTACCTATCTTGGTGACAGATTTAAAAATCTGGAATAGTTTCCTTTATAGTTCAAACAATTGGACCATGTTCGCCGTTTCTGGCACAGAACTATAAAAGCCTGCATAAAATATGCATTATGCAGGCTTACTTTAAAGCTTTTCCTTTAATCTTCACATCGTTCTTCACAAGTGATGGAAACACATTTTATTTACAGCTGTGATTCCTTCCTGTACTGGGACTTAGTCCCTTTAGGCTTCGCGGTATTGTTGCTCCGTCGGTTGTCTGGTAGACTACACCGCTGTTCATCAATACGGTTGGATTGCAGACGCAATATTAGGCCAAAGAAATCTTCATCTGGCACGGTAGGGGCTTGTTGTATAAGATCGGGGTCACAACGTTGGTCGTTGATACGCGATTCCTGCGAGAAAACCGCCGATAAAGTTAATTAGGATTTTATGACCTACGACGCGACTGGACGACGACAGGACTTCAAACCAAGAAGATTAAATCTTCATGCAAAGACAAAAATAGAATCACCGTTTTGTCCACTTACGACGACTCCTCTCCCATGTGTACGTACTAAACGAATGCCCCCCATGTCTCCATTAGAAAGTTATACCATATTTTTTAACTCAATTCTTACCTGAGATTTTATGATCAACTCAAACATGTCTTCTTGAGTGAGGGAATTGACTTTGCGACTTCTTACAGATCTGCTCGACTTACCCCCAATACGCCCTTCAAAAAAGAGAACTAATTTAGTACAGAGCGCGTTTTTCAATTTCAGAAATATCTACACAACAAGGCTATAAAATTCCCGAGTATTCTGACTCAAAAACATTGCAGTAAAATATTGCACTCGAAGTGACTAACTATTTTGGGTAAAGTTATTGAAAATTTCTGAGCATGCAAATTTACTCTTTCTTTTAAGTAATGTTTTAAATTTACTTCACTCAAAAATTAGTAAATTCGGACATAAATTTGAGTAATTTTACTTTTTAGGATTTTTTGCGTCGTCATTGGGGGCCGAACTATTCCAAAAATTAAACACAAAACAACAAACACTTCGTTACACTCCGTAAATTGTTAACACTTTAAAGATGATGTCCACTCCTGTGCACATGCGCGAACTTTGTTTACGTTTTGAACTGCTATATTTGTAAAATATGATATACTAACTGAATATCTAACACTTTTCTTGTTCGCTATGCTTGTAAATGAATATAAATTGTACGTTTCAATTCAAAAAAGTTCGAAAGATGCAAAAATTGGGCAATCTTTATATCTGGGGGTTCCCCTTTGTTATGAGCAGAACTGATACGCAGAACGGAGTGGAAATCATCTTTAATACTCTATGTTTTGATTATTTCTTTACAGTCATCTAATTCAGCAGGATTAAAACGCATATAATTCAAATGTTAACAATTTACGGAGTGTCTATTGTTTTGTGTTAAATACTAAATTACTCTATGGCGACCGTCATTATGTGTGTGTGTGTGTGTGTGCCTGTCTGTGTGTGTTTGTCTTTCAGCACACGATAACTCAAAAACTATCAAACGTATTGGCACGAAAATTTGCGGGACCCATGCATGACATTTCCCAAAGGACAAATTGATTAAATTTTGGTTAAATTTCATTGAAAATAGGATGAAATAAAGTTTGTCTTGCTTTGATTTGACGGGCAGAGTGAACTAAATGCGTTATTAGCCCATTGTATAATTTATGCATATAGGTTGGGACTTGTGAAAGTGAGTGCCCTCTATAGTTTTTACTCCAAAAATTCTCGTACATGCGCTTTCCAAAAAAATCTTTCGAAAAATCTTAAAATCGTGCGATGGCTGAATGTGCAGTGGCTGCTGAATGTCAATATGTGACAGCAAAATTTGTACTAACTATTAAACCTTGTACGTTGTACTAACTATACAAAAAACAAAATACTTGAATTTTGTTTCATGTTTTAACGTTTTTGTCCGTACATATATTAAAAAATATCCTTCAAAAAAAAAAACGAGTTCATGGGCGGACCTCAGGCTCTGCTAAAAACCAGCATATACATTCAGTCGTTCTTGCTAATGCCCTGTTTCCTATTAATTTAAAGTAATAAATTTTTATCTTAAATTTAACGCCCACGTTTCCGAGGAAATTTCATTAACGTCTCCGCGAGGAAAAGTTAATTTCAGTCAAATAATAAGGAAAAGTTAATGAGACAAAGTAATGCCTTCAATTTTAGCACACTTTAACAATTAAGTCTTGAATGTACTTTAATTGAATCACAAAACATATTTTGTTTACAAATAACTATATATGACAAGCAAAAACCGTACAATCTAGTAATTAATGCATGAAATATAAGGGAAAACCGTTGCCATGTCTACCTTCTTAGATGAATCTATACTCGATTCTACCTACAAAATTTGAGGGACAGGTATAGGGACAAATTAGGAACGAAGAATAACCTTGAACCACTAAACGTGAATATAGTATAAGAAGTTCAACATATTTTGTTTCGCTCAGTAACATACAAGAGCATGACAACTTCACTGTTCATCATGCAGTAAAAAATATAATTCAAAAATGTTTTTCTGAAATATCAAATTAACAACACAAAACTGTGAACAAAAAAACTACCAAAATATACTTAATATACTTTTACTTAACTCGGTAAAATGAATAACATTTAACTATATATAAACATTGGACTTTGTTTATATGCACAAATTAATTTTCAAAAAAGCTTATACATTCAACAATTTACCGCAGAAAAAATAAGATATTTTATTATATAAACATACGTGTTATATAGAGTTTTTGGCCACTGAGAAAAATCGTATTTAAACACACGTAAAAAATACGATATTTTTACGTGTGAAAATATCATTTGTTGTAAAACGCATTGCCACGGACGTTCAACACTCGAAATAAATCTGGTATTTCCGCGCACCCATGTAATTTATCCTCTATAGTTCATTACAGAAAAGACTTTAAAATAGCTTACTTCGATACAACTGCAGTTTTGATGTTCTAGAAGCCATTGTTTCCGTGACAGGATTAGTGTTGAAACTGTTACTGTGTTAGCTGTTCTGCCCGCATAACCAGATTACAATGCTTATATATAATAAAATATGAACAGGATCTTATCTATGAATTAAACGAAGATAAAACTCCCAAGCAACTTCAAGTAAATTGCGGTTAAGGTAAACAAAAGATAACAACATTATTATCTATTAGTCGTATGAATCTGTTTTTCAACAAATATATATATGTGAAGTCAAACGATCAACATAATATCAATTTTGCTTTGCCCAAGAAAAGTCATATATGAATGCGCGTTTCTGTGGGGTCATGCACCACAAACTTTTCCCTGAACTACTGTAAAAGCCTATATTCTTTTCATATTACTTTCTAGCTATTAGGGATTCAATTTGAAAGGTCTTCGAGAAAGTTGAACTTCCTTTTAGATGACTTTGGCAATGACCATGCATATGTATATAATGAAAATTTGCATTTGCCCAAATTTACATGACTGAGTGATTCCTTTATATGTGTAAGATAAGAAATGCATATATATGCATGGGTCAAATGGAGCGTTCATTACTATATATATAGTTATGTAACAGCAAAAATTTTGTAACATGGAACTTGATTCAACATGCAAGTAATATAGTATGCATGGTGTTGCGTCATAAAACACATGAACGAGTGGGTTTAAAATTTGCCACTTGCCCGCGAGCTCTTGCCACTGTTTAACTACATATATGTAAAAGAAATATAACGTGTAAACAGCCCTTTCGTCTACATCCTTATCTAAATAATATGCATAAATAATTTAACAAGGAAATTCTTTATCCCGTTTACAAATTATTTTTTCACATGTTGTAGTATATGTTAACTTTGTGGACGGTGGTTAAATAGACGTTTTTGAAAGTATATTATATATATATATAGTTATGTAACAGGAAAAATTATGTAACATGGATCTAGACTCAACTCAACTAGAGTCAACTAGAGCTAACTATATTCTTAGTCGATAAAAGTTATGTTTTGACCGTATTTAAAAAAATCCCGAGTCAAAAGAATTGCAATATTAAATATACATGGTCTTTCTTACAAATCAAAACTATAGGTACTATATGTATACACTGCAAATTCAAAAGAGTCAAAACGACCCCCAAAAGAGTGTATTCATGCAATATCAACTGGATATCAACTCAATGCTGCAACATAATTATATTATATTACAGGATTCGAGATAATAATTTCCATATACACATATGAAGTTTTTTTTGTCGAAAGGTAAATATTACGGTTTATTATCATTTCTTTTCACCTATCATTACAGAAATGACAGACAATTTTTTTACATGCAGAAATGACATACAATTTTTCATGAAGTTTTAAATATACGTTTGAGCACAGTATATATATTGCATAACGGGCCATTCACAAAGGATGTCCGAGCCAAGGGATGGGGGTTTGGAAAATCAGGACAAACTCGGATATAGGGGGGGAGAGGGGGAAGGGGGGGGGGGGTGGCAATCCGGATGTCCGAAATTTTAAAATATTCAAAAACAAATTTTTTTCCCTCTATTTTGAGCAGTCCTTCTCATTGTGAAATTGGCATTTTGACTGTGCGGTTAACACTAGATTTTGTTTTAATTAGTAATTTATATGTTTTTGTATTCACATTTATAGTTATAAAAAAGTTCTAAAAGTAAAAAAAGTTTTTTACTCTTGACATATACAAGGTTGTGTGAGTTTTTGCGAGGCATGGTCGATGTCCGGGGGGAGGGGGTGTCACTAATTCGGACAATGCCGGACAAGGGGGGAGGGGGGTCTGAAAATCCATCACTTGGCCGGACATCCTTTGTGAATGGCCCCTAATAGCTATTTCTCATGCACTCAACTTATAAAGACTAAAGTTTTAAAATGATAAATACTCGAGTTTGGCTTACATAATATAGCATGCCATCACAATTAATCTTATTTTTTAGATAAACCATTAGAGAATAATTTATTATGGGAACTGCTCGCAGTTTAAGAGGGTAAAGAGGAAGAAATTGTCGGCATGTCGCATATTATATATACCTATTAACTTTTTAGGATCTCGTACCATTACAAATATATCTCATGCCTATTTTGGGTCTCATGCCATTACAATTAATATTATACATGTAGAAAATAGAGGAAGAGATTGTCTAACAGATTATTTTTGTTGTCATAAAAATTATATAACTTTTTTTCACTTAACAATCGAGAACAAGAAAATACAATTTACTCTTAAATATTTATTTTGCCTTTTGGCCAATATTAAGCTATAGATCATATATTCAATGCGCAAAAATTACTTCTTAATGGATGAAAGTCGTTTCCTGTTAAATTGTCATGCATGCATGTTTTTTTGCATTGAAGCTTGACGATTTTATCGCGTATATGTTTACGTTTCAAACGTTACATGTTTGAGCCACTGACTTGAGCGCAAACGTGCCAGGTTTGGTAATGGAAGTTACGTTGTTTACATAAAATTGACACGTTTGTGGAAAAATACAGGCACGTTTTGATCACGCGTGCACGCCAAGTTTTAAGCAATTTTCCGAATGTTACACTAGTATAAAATTCAAGTTATTTTGCAAGATAGAATGAAAGATAATAATTATGATGTAAAGATTGTCCATGCATGCCCACAAATTTCATTTTCTTATGTCTATACTGTAAACAACACGGGGAATTTTTATAAATGCAAATTTAAAAAATTTGTTCCCCTCTTGCCGATCACGCTCCCCAAAGTTTAGAATTATAGTAACTTTGGCGGGCGAAAATGAATAAATTAGCGGACTAACATACATTTTATCGGGTGTTTTTTTTTTACTTTTCATCGACAAAATGACTGTTAAAATAAAAAAGAGAAGAGATAACAATTTTCCAAAATGAAATAAGCTAGAATCCATTCCCGAAAACATCAACACAATTCCTGTTGATTGCATGTTGACTGTGTTGTGGCAGAACCTTTTTAATAAAACACATGCAGTGCGAGTTTATTTAATATATTTAACAAACAAAGCTATAGCTTTGTTTTTATAGTTTTTTAATCTTCCTTTTGTGTTTTGAGAACGGTTTAGGTTTTTCTTGCTTATATAAACCGAGTTTGTAGTTAAGACAACGAAATAAAAGGCAGCGCGAAGGCGGCATTGTACAGGGTGTATAAAAAAAAGCGCAACCTCGGAATTTCCCAAGACATCGACATTGTTTTAAAGACAAAAGATTTTAGGCGCCTGGGAATTTAAAATAGCATAACTGTCAAAATTACTGCACACGCGAGTGCATAAAGCAAAATTTATGCATTTATTTAATGCACAACAACAGTAATATGATCTATTAGCAATTCGATTTCAATTCCCAGGGGCCTAAAATCTTTTATGCTTAAGAATTGCAAAGTGATTTCTTAGGAAATTCCGAGGTTGCGTTTTTTTTTATACACCCTGTACAGGGTGTCTCAAAAAAACCCAAAATCATTGAAATAACGTATTGTTCGAATTTCAATGCCGTAACACAAAGGATTTTGACAGGGTGATTAATTTGTTTTAAAAAATTAAAATATCTTTGTAAAGTGAACGTTTGTTTGCTCATGGGAATTTAAAAATGCTTCGTAAATTGTAATATGCGTAATATGCATTCGTGGGTTTAGTACTTTATGCCTGACATAACAAGTTTACGCTAAGTATTACCATTCATTATAGCAGTTATGTCAATCTTTTATGCACTCGTGGGATTAACTTAGTGCTAGGGCATTGAATATCGAACAATACGTCAATTTCAATGATTTTGGTTTTTTTGAGACACCCTGTATATCTGTTTGCCGTCTATTTTGTTATCATGCATCTCTGCTGTCAGTAATCGCCCTGTAAAATTATTATAAAGTATTAAATAGCTAGGCAATTCCAGCTTTTAATTTATGCGTGCAGGGGGGATGAGAAGTAAGGTATCATATTGCTGATTATGCTGAAAAAAAATAAAAATGGCGTCCGTGTAAACACGAAGTGATATAGCTTATACTTGTAAATATTGAAATATTTCGGTTGTTTCGGCAGTTTTTATTGAAAATTTTCAGCATAATCAGCAATATGATACCCTGCTTCCCGTCACCCCCTGCGTGCATAAATTAAAAGCTAGAATTGCCTATACAGTTGATGTTCTTGGGCATAAATGTGTTTTTGGCCCGACTTAGACTCATTTACATCAGCTCTATATTGCTATATTATGGCCTTTTTAAATTAATAAAGAAATTTTCAGAATTTTCGAATTTTAATAAGGCATTTTCTAGATTGAATAAAGCATGCGTTCGTCTAGCAATGCTGTTTCACCAACTTGTCATCAGGATGTGTTTGTATACAGCTTGTTCCCAGCTTGTTGGCAATTTGCTACAATGTTGTGGACTCCAACCCAATGCTCCAACCACGGTTAATAGACAATTAACCGTGCTCCAACAGACTCGTTACAAGTTGCTCCAGCAACATGTTTTCGTGCAACGACTTGTTGACAAGTTGTGAGGTTTTTGCGTGTGTGTATAGTCTATAGTCTATAGACAAGTCTATTTTGTAGATTACACAATTTTTGATCTGTTATCTGCTTTTCATATTTTTGAGCTCTACATATGAGAGCAACACAAGCAAACCGCTAAATATCTTCTTGCCAGAAGTTTTGTTTTCCATTTCGCCTCGTATATGATAAGAATCATTTTACGATACAGTTTTAACATAAATAGTCCTTTTTAGGCATTGGCATTCAACGAATGAAAAAAGTTTATTAGTCAGCGGGAAAACAGACTAATGAAATATAGGCATGCGCCAGATACTGTTTTGCTGGATACCGGATAGTAAATGATAACGGCCGCGGATACTAGATAATAACCGGATACCAAGGTTACAAATGGTGGTAATTGCCGTTTGCCGTTACAAATGGGGAGGGCTGCGACTATTCACTATACCATTTGGCAAAAAAATAAACACCTAAAAACTTGCTTTCCCACGATATCAGAATGTATGTTTTGTTATATAAAATAATACATATAATTTATTTGCAATGAAATATTTAAGAGAAATTCTTATCGCAAACAAGATACAATCCGCGCCACACCACAGGCCGTCGAGATAATATAAGCCCACTCCGCAAACATGGCGATACAGCCGACTCCGTGAGCTTAACTAAGCTGTTGACATTACATGCGATAGATTACGACTGCGGTTTCACGGTAAAGGCTATTTCAGATCCAAACTCGAACGGTCTGAGCCAGCGTAGGAAGTGACAATAACACCAGAGAGCCGCAGATTGACAGGGATTCGACTACCTGAAAAATACCCTACGTCGGGAAATTAGCTACTAGCGAGCTTAAGCATGTAGGACGGCAACGCGGCCAAAACAAATTCCTTCAAATAAATGATATAGTAAAGAAAACTTGTCGTATATTATAATTCGTATGAATTTAATACAGTATAAGAAGTTGAAAACATTGGCTTTATGTTTGGGAAGAGGTCTACTGAACCGAATTTTATAAGTTGCACTTGTTACGGCTTGAAATGCAGGCGTTGTATAGAGTGTTTGCATGTGACGTCATAAAAATTCTAAAAGCTCAAGCGTTTAACATATATAGTTGCCCATTTTATATATTTTGTATATCCTTACTACAAGTATTCCTGGCAAATTTCAAGTCGATTCAGTAATTCCTTCGCGAGTTAAATGTGCTTGAATAATTTATATTGCTGACGTCAGCGAAGGCCCTTCATGACGAAGGGCCTTCGCTCGAAACGTCGAGTTTCTGCTTATTTTTTAAGGTAGTAATATAACCACTCAGCACATTATTTTGAAAGGCCGTTATAAGCTACGCGGTTTTCCAAACATAAGTCGAAATATTTCGGTGGGCTTTCAAAAGTTTTATATAATTAATATCAAACATACTTGTGGACCTATGTGATAAAATATAACTTTTCTGGCCGCCATGTTGGTGGTCCAAGATTGAATTACTGTATCGACTTGAAATTCGCTAGGAATACTTGTAGTAAGGATATACAAAATATATAAAATGGGCAACTATATATATTAAACGCTTGAGCTTTTAGAATTTTTATGACGTCACATGCAAACACTCTATAAAAGACGTGAAAATCTGTGATTTGCCGTTGCAAACAGAGCGACGACCAGGCGTCCAGGGACGGCCCTATAGAATAAAAAATGGGCGCCTTTGGACGCCCAAATTTGGGGGGAAAAGGGAAATTATTTTCAATTATTTCCCTAAGTATATTAATATATCTGAAACGAAATAGCTTCAATTCTCATTATTATTATACATTTGACATTTTGATCAATTTGATGGTGTACCTGGCTGAATGAAAATGTTGTAGTTAAGTAAAGAAGCATAGCGGCACAAAATCACAAAGCCAAGTGTGTTTGAAAAATTTCGAACGAGCTTGGAACAGATACTGACATGAAGTAACGTAAACTTCAAAGGTTTTCCAGAGGAACGTTTTCTCGACTCCCTCCCCCCCTCTCTTACTGTAGATGTGTCGTTGTACCAAAATTGGACGCCCTCTTTTAGGATCCTGGCTAAAAGCCTGGCGACGACTACGTCTGAAACTCCCCTGGACTTTAATTATTTATTTCTTTTCATTAACTCATTGTATTGGTTGCCATCGCCGTAGTGTTGCCGTCCGTTGTATATTCTCGGGTTTTTTCTTAAGTTTGCCGTATAAAAATGCCGTATTAAAGCACTAGAGTTGTTTGAATAAATTTTACTGCAAAAGAATTGATGCTTTTGAACAGACCAATGGGATTGTAGAATTGACCAGCCAATCCCAGGTACTGAGCTCGCCTTCGCGTATGTTTGCAGTTTTAGCCCGTTTGGGAAGCACACCTTATAAAAAATTCGCCTATGAGCCCAAAGTTGCCCAGTCTTGTTACGCACTATTATGACTCAATGCATACATAATGAGTGAAGTCATGCAGACATAATGACGTCATGCATACGTAAAGACATCATGCATACATGAGTGACGTCATGCATACATGACGTCATGCATACATAATGACGTCATGCATACGTAAAGACATCATGCATACATGAGTGACGTCATGCATACATGAGTCCTCCATACCGCACCATCCACCTCAAAAATCCTGGTCAAGACGGCCCCTATATTAATTAGTGCCAGCAAGTAGGTAAAAATAGAAATATCTGAAATGTTCTTACCTCCGTTCTTTGTTTTCGAATTCGGAAGTTCAGCTCGCTGCTCTTCCATACGGTTGCCTTGACAACGGGATAATAACTCGAAAAAATTGTCATCAAGGACGTGCGTACTGGATGCCTGCAAAAAAGGAACGATGAAAAATTAGAAACGCCGAATCAAAATCAGTTTTACACGGATATCTGAAGGTTAAAAATTAATTTAACAAAGTAAATTTTCTTTGGGTTGGAACGAAGCTCTAGGAAGATGTTCTGTGACTAGGGTTGGGCGATTTTTCGATATTTTGATTTATCGCAATATTTTCAATCGCGATTATCGTATCGAAGGTAGAAACTTGACCGACGATATATCGAAAATATCGTCATGCTCGATGACTATACCGTGATATTGTTTTGCATGTGTATATAGCTTTTATAAAATCCTAAAAAATGCTTTCAATTCCTTGAAAATATAGTTTTTAAAAGAATTAAAACTATTTCCTGAATTAAGTACGAATTTAATACGATACAAAAGCTAATATTTATGTATTAATCCGTGGAACAATGAAATTGCAGGAGACACAGTAGACACTGCATAGACAGTTCAGGTTTATGAACAGTGAATATTAAACTAGAAAAAGCCTTCACATTACTTTAATTTGTTTTCTGGTTTCTAGTAAGATCATATATCAGCTTACTATACTTTGATATTAATTAAAATTGAAAAATGTGGTCATTGTTTTTATCGCGATATTATCGAATATCGTGATAATTTCCTTGACAATAATCGTACGATGATTTTTTTAATATCGCCCAACCCTATCTGTGGCTGCCTCGTCCCTCGTCGCTTCAGTTGGGAATAGATATCAGTGGAAAACAGTGGGAGCGCGGTGCTTGATGGGAATCGCGACCGCGCGTACGAATAACGGATGAGGAACTGCGGAAGAGTCAGGTTCTGTGATTGGTTGATTATGACAATGACAAAAGAATAAGCTATAGAATGGATTTTCTAAAGAACGAAGCAAGAACAATATTCCTTTTGTTTATGTAAGCCAATTACGTCTTTTGTCATTGTCATAATCAACCAGTCACAGAACATTTTCCTAGAGCTTCGTGTTTACTGTTTCTTTCATGTGCGATTACTCAGAGCCTGCATGTAGACGGTTTTCCCAAATATTTATAAAGGCAACGAAAAGATGCTGTTTTCACCGTAGCTGGAAAGGCGCATTCTGCCGCAGCAGGGTCTGTTGCATTTTTGCAGGTCCAAAATTTATGTACAATTTTAGACCTGTCAATGTAACTTTAGAGCCTTTCATGTGAAACAAATAACAACTTGGCCCGGCAAAGCGAGCTAGCCCGGCTCATATGAACAGGCCCTTAAGCCGGAGTCGAATCTGCGGCCCTCATGCGATTCTGGTGCAGTGCTCTCAAGCACCATTGAGATATACAGAGCCCAAGTTACCAAGACTCTAGCAAAAGGGCGTAAAGCTGCATTTTTCGCATGTAGCTGCTCCTAGTCAGTTCTAAAGGCCTGATTCCACGAGGGCGAAATTCTTCGCGAGAAATTGTCGGTCTGCGAAATACGGATGGTTGCAAATTAGCGATTCTATTGAATTTTCCCACTTTTTCCGCTTTCGCAGTGAGTAGAACCGATTTCTACTCACTGGTGAAGCGAAATTTTTTTCTCCCGCGAAGCCTACTTTATCTTTACTGCGCATGCACCTAACTAATTTCGCGCGAAATTTTTCGCATTTCGCCGAAGAAAGCGCCCGTGGAATCGAGCCTGATTCACACTATATAGCGATTTTGTCGGCAACTTTCTCTTTCTGCCGGATGCGAATAAGTGAACTCGTATGCAAAGCTATAGAATCGCTTTTCAGAAGTTTTAGTTTCTAGTGTCAACCAGGTTTAAAATTGTATGTAAATTTTCGTTCGAAACTTACATGTATCAAAAAGCCATCATCTACATTGTTTATTCACTCATTCATTTATGTGTACAATCAGGGACGCCGGAACTGGGAGGGGCAGCCGCCCCCGTTGCCCTTTACCAGGAGGGGCAAGGGGGGCAAAGGTGCCCTTTCAATTTAAAGGATTGCCTTGGCGAAATAGCGAATTGTCAGAAATGTTAGTGCAATTATTTTACGAATTTGCTTCAGAAAACGCAAGAAATGCAGTCATCGAGCTTCAAGAATAGCACGATCGCCTGGCGGAGAATCCCCTCACACCCCTATCATCCAATAAATAGAAAACATGGTTAGGCGAAGTTCAACTCCCGATGTTTTGCAAACATCTCTTAGTATATATCAATTCAAAAGTGCACTTTCACGAAAATCTGCCCCCCCCCTGCCTTCACATAGTTCCGGCGTCCCTGTGTACAATTTCACAAGCTCTCTCCCTCCATTGGAGCAAATTAAATGAGGCTATCTGCAGGTAACATTATACACTTAATGTTTGCTCCCGAGGGAAATAGTTTTGTTTTCCCGAGAATCTCAATGTTTCCCGAGACGAAGTCGAGGGAAACATTAAGATTCGAGAGAAAACAAAACTAACTATTTCCCGAGGGAACAAGCATTAAGTGTTTTGTTATATAGCGACGAAAAAAAATCAACTTCAACAACATTCATACAACAATTGTATTTGTGACGAAAACTCTATGTGTAAACGAGTTTAAAATTAAAAGAACCTACTTAAACGGTTTCAGCAGCATATCCTGTTGCCTGTTGTGTATTTTTCTTCTCTTTTATATTCTTTATTTTAACACAAACTTGGAAAATCGTAGTTTCTAATTATCTGAGTTGTGCCGCCATTTTGTTTATTTATGTACGTGGCCGGTCGGGGCGGGCAACAATTTTTCACTTGTTGCCCGGCGGGAAACATTGCATTTATCTGAAGTCACGTGACCACAAATCAGCCAATCACGTTTGGTGTTCACGCTTGCTATATAACAATACGATTTAATCTCTCTTTTTAGCTATATTCTGGGCTAAAATTATTCTACAAGTTCTATTTTTATGTTTAGAAATATGTTTTATCGAATTCTAAGATAGAACTTACTCTTTGGCGACGTACAATGGAAATCTAAAGCCTAAACGTCAGCCCTTGAAACGCGCATTTGCATGTCAGTGACCGCGGTATTTTTATCTGGTCTGCATGGAAATTTGATGATTTACAAGACCAGCGTACGATCTTACACATTACGGTATATACGAAACCATATAAATACGATCTTAAGACGTATTTATGCATGAGTCGAAGGTAAATAAGAGGGTCACTTCTCCTATATATACAAATAGCGCGGAAATACAAAGTCAATCTTAAAATTACAAATAAAAAATATTAATAGAACTATTCTGGGATTTCATTCTTTCGAAAACCCCCACTCTATATACATGCAATTTATATTTAATGAAACGAATTTCAATCTGTCATTCAGTTTATCTGACTAAACTTTACAGGTCCAGCAAATTGCCAGAGTTTTTAAGCAGAATCTGAGCGACTAAACACTGACTTGGGGGGGGGGGGCGAGTACAGCCCCCCAGCTCGCCCATCTCGTGCGCCTATGATTGCAAGGCATACCTTTCTGAGATAGGCGCGTTCAATAAAATCTGTAACGGTTCTGTACATAGTTACATTTTCAGACCTGACCGGGAACAGCTGCAAAAAATGCATTATGCAACCATAGAATACAAAACAATAGATACTCCGAAAATTGAAAGCATTTTGAAAAAATTATTTAAAAATTATTTATTTCAGATTGCAACCATAGACCTTCTGGTATTTCGGCAGTTAACTAATTTGTAAATCAAATAAAAAAATTTTTGTAACATTATTTTTAGATGAACATAGTAATTTTATTAAAAATTCAATATTTAATCTAATATTGAATCTCGTACGCATGTTGAAAGCAAAAATGGCAGCTGGTGTTAATTTTCATTACTATAAATAGGCACACTAGCTCATTATGTACCGATATGAAATTGAATTGAAGTTTGAGCAAAAAAGTTATGACTTGATAAGTTCGACGGATAATTTAGTACGAACAAATAAACTGAAAGATATAGGCTGACAGTTCCTCGTTGTATCATTGCCAAGAGTGTTTGGAAATGTGCAAATGAGGCGAAGTCCAATCTAAGTGTTTAACTACTTCAAGTGAACTTGTTCTTATTAACTCACTTAGGCCTTATTACTTCCGCCGGGAAGTTATATTTTCAGCCGCGTGTGCAAACGTATATTAATACGAAAATTTGTAGGACTAATGTAAATTATCCAAGGACAAATTGAGTAAATTTTGGATGAAACATTAGCAAAAGCTTAATTGTCATGCTTTGCTGGGCATGGGAGTATAATTAGCTCATTGTAAATAATTTACGCATGATGCATAATTTATTTCGCTGACGGAAGTATGCAGTCTCCAAGTGCCTCTAGTTTAAATCTCTTTTCTTTTTTCAATCATTTACTATATATGTTCCAAGTAAATCGGGAAAATCCTAAAATATAGGTACAATCTCTTCTGACGGGCGCCTCTATTTTCTATTGAAAACCTCTATTAAACGACGTACTTATATATATTCACATGTTTCTGTTCAGATTGAATTGAAATTCAAGCAAAGATTTATATTTAATATCGGCCCGAACGCTGGACTACCAATGCCTTTTAGATGTCGTATTCATAGATAGAAACTAGGTCTCGAAAAATCTATTAAAAGCTACATTTTTATGTGCATTATAATAATCATAATAATAATAATAAAACTTTATTTAATGAGGGATTACACTGATTACTTAATATAGTATTCTTCCCAATGGCCCTCGATATCTAATAGTAATATATAAAAAGAAAATCCTATTGAGAGTAACATTGACAATGAGTAATATGCTTACAATCGATGCAGCGGAATTTATTAACGTGATCTACTTCATAATTCAATTGAATAAAGTAGGTTTTGAGCTTCTTTTTATAGGAATAAATTGAATGATTTTCAATATCTTTTAATTCGGAAGGTAGAGAATTAAATAAACTTGCACCACTGAAGGAAATTTTGGATTTTGCTTGCGTAGTCTTAACTGATGGAACTTTTAAGTCTGTAATAGACGATCTAGTTGGAATTGGATGAGAGTCGCGAACAAAGACAAACAATTTACGAAGATCCGGCGGCCAAGATGTTTTTAAAGTATTGAATACCAATAATATTTTTCTCATTTTGATCAAATTAAAAATAGGTATCCAGTTGAGTTTACGGAAAAGCACTACAAGAACTTAAATGCATTACAAGAACTTAAATTTTATTACAATTAGGAAAGCCTGATTTACATATTTATATACAGCGTATATAATGTATTAAGACGTAACATGCACGCGCGTTCAAAACTAATGAATAATCTATACTTTTGCATTTGGTAATTGGTTATGACTATATCACAATTTTTAAAATTTTGGATACGTTTCTCAAGCGGCAAACAAACTTAAAAAGTATGTTTAGTGCTTTATCTGTAAAATTATAGTATAGTAAACAATCTCGTTCCCCGAGCATGCCCGTTCGCAGGTTAAGGGTGGGCATAGCTCTGGAGAAATCGAATTGATTCAGGCCTGTGATTGGCTAACGGCAGATAGTACGTTGGATTTCCAACGTGAGTTCTACGCATGCTTGGCAATTGTTGCAAAATATAAACAAAGTATTTGGAATTTCTCGTCGAAAATTTGCTACTTTTTTACACTGAAATCGATTGAAAACAACTAGAAATTCTGGAGGGAATATGTGCGAAAGCTTCGGATTGATAGGGATACAACTACCTGAAAAATACAAGGAGAACTTCGACGTTTCGAGCGAAGGCGCTTCGACTTGTGCTGTTAATGTTTGTATATATAGTACTTGACCTTTTATACTGTCGTACTTAACACTACGTATACCATAAATTCTGACAGGAGAGTTAAATGTAAATTTTAAAGCATAAAAATATATAATACTCATTCTTGAGGAGATTTATCAGTAAAGGTGAAGTACGATGTATATAAACACTAACAGTACAAGTGACAAGTCGAAGCGCCTTCCCTCGAAACGTCGAAGTTCTCCTTGTATTTTTCAAGTAGTTGTATCCCTATCAATCCGAAGCTTTCGTACATATTTCCTCATAATTTTTAGTTGTTTTCAATCCGATTTCAGTGTAAAAAGTATGAAATTTTCGACGAGAAATTCTAAATACTTTATTTATATTTTGCAACAATTGCTGAGCATGCGTAGAACTCACGTTGGAAATTCAACGTGAATCAATTCGATTTCTCCAGAGCTATGCCCACCCTTAACCTGCGAACGGGCATGCTCGGGGAACGAGATTGTATGGTAAACTGAAGATATTTTTGAAGGTACGCCAGAGAGAAAATAGATAGTTTACGATCTATGACGCGGTCTGAATTTCAGTTCAAGAATGGGCGCTAACCAATTTGATTACTTTAATAAATATTTGAAGCTTTTTCAAATAAACCTACAAACTCAGCCTAGTTCCTGGCCTTTTCGCTTCCGCCTCATTATTTTGCGGGGAAATCGACAAGGTTTGCAGCGCGACCCAATTCGGATATTTTGCGAAACGGACAGCCCGCAAGTTCATGACAGCCTGTAACTCGCCCGCGCTTGGAAGGCCAGGGACTAGGCTGCTGCACTAAAGCAATGCAATGTTATGTTTGCTGTAATTTCGACTTTACGTAACACCAAGATCTTGGGTCGCAATAAGCTTTAATGTTGCTTGGAAGACGTGCATGATAATATGCATGCTTAGTTTAACGTTGTGTTGAGAATGACAAAGCCGTTGAGAATACCCCAGGGATCACAAATTATTCACATCTTTTGTCTTGCATGACAAATTTCGTTGTTTCGAAAGCGCGCCGTTGAGCCCGTCGCGATGTAGATCGTTAACTTTCTAATGATTTCTGAAGTTCAGTAACTTTTGCATATATTGCTGTATAAATATGGCGTCACATTAGCCTTGTGGAGTATAGTAGATTGAATAACTAGTACTTGTGATCAGAATTCGACATGATTTCTTCAATCAATACAATGCACATTCGATTGCACCGTTTTTCTAAATTCTCTATTTACACTAAACATAAGGCTTTATGCTATAAGTTAGTTTTGCTTATATAAATTATTTTCATCGCTCGTTTCTATATAGATTCGTTAAATTTCTTTACTTCGTTCTTTTGCGGTTTCCTCAGTTTCATATACCTGGGCCCATATTCGAAAGTTGCATGGTCCATAAACATCTATACTCTCTTTCCGAATCTATCAGAAATGATTTACTTAAAAACTTCCTATATGCGAGGCCAAGTGCCAATCTTGTTACCATGGTACCAAGATAGCGCTTTCTGATTCAAGATTAGGGATTTTAATTAACACTAAAGCATAGAGCCTAGTTCACACGATGAAATAAGCATAAGCATAAGCATAAGCAAGCGGAACCTTTGATGTAAGCATAAGAAGAACGCAACATTTGTTCTTCTTATGTTATGTTATGCTTATGCTTACATCATCAAAGGTTCCGCTGCTTGTGCTTATTTCATCGTGTGAACCAGGCTTAAGTAATAAACAGCTCTCTGCACGAAAAATTTTGTTCCGACTTCAAACATAACATAGAAGTATAGGAAATGCCGTCATTTCAGTGGCATATAGTCCTAAAATTTTAACAGTGGGGTCTCTTCAAAGGAGGCCGTGGAGGCATTATCAGCCAGAAAATATTCGACTCGTGAGTCTCTGAAGTCTCTGCATGCATGAAACACGGTTTCCAGCATTTTATGTGATGTTATAAATCATTTTACGACACGACACGAAAATACAACCTCAAAACAGGGCCCATTTCTGACAATGTGGCTTGACCTTCAAAATTAAATAGACCTATATTGGAATAACTGCGTTTTTATCTTTTAAATCTTATTACTGAAATTGGCAGAAATTTGTTTTATTACCAAAATGATTTCTGTCGTGATAAAAATCTTACAGGTGGAACACGCCCCCTGAGATATGTGAAGATATCTATCTATCTATATCAACAATCTAGTCACCGTGAAACTATATAGTTGAATGTGAATGCAGACTGATTACAATTTATCAAACGCATGTGATAGAAAAACATGAAGTATTACGCGAGCATGACGATGTTTTTATTTGCGACTATTCAATGCTAGATTAGAACGATTCAATTTGATTGGGGATAAAATCCCGTTTACAATAGCACTTGTTGCCACGAGCATGCCCACATTCTACTCTGCTAACACTTCCTTTACATAAGGGATGAAAAATGAAAGAACTGGGATGAAAAATGTCGGCAGAATAAATTGTAGGCCATCATTTCCCTGCGTCTACCTTTTAGATAAGGTGGAGAAAGAAACTGCGAAATCTGCCCCGTGTGACATGACTAAAATTTTTGAGATGGACTGAAAAATTTTTCAGTGACGTCGATTAGGTTTAAATGCTAAACAACTTACAGCAAGTGCAAAACAAGTGCATTATAAGCGCGAAGACATACTACTTTTCAATAAATACCACGGCGTATGATTCCGAACAAACAGACTGACAAACTAAAGCCGGTTTTCCACTTCGCCCGTATCGTAGCGAAACGTACTGACGAGAATGCGCAGATTGAAGAGAGGTTTATAAATCCACGTACTTCCGGGTGTATTCGCGTATCAAAATAAAAAGTTCGTCGCAAGTCAACTTTTTGGCGTACTACGGAAGTACTAACCAATCAACATTCACGAAATTTTGAAATTTAAAGACGTTTTTGATACGTTTCGGTACGGTACGCTTGAAGTGGAAAACCGGCTTAACTATCAGACTAACAAACTCACGTAGCGAATATAAAGGCATGCCAAACTTTGTTTGGGCACCGCAATTTATTCTCGGATGCTAAGTGTGTAACTCCAATTTGATTCAAAACAATGGGATAAGATTTAATCTGCATGCATGGGATAAGATTTAATCTCGATCAAATTCCGACTTGTGCACTCAGCTGGCCAAATGATTTTAAATATACCATATTTGTCTAGTATCAGAGAAGAATAAAGGAAGGTGTACTACATATATGGTATTTTGTGTGGACGCTCTATCGTGTCCGTATGTTGAATCATTTGCAACAAACCAGAAATATCCAAGTGTAATGATTCAACTCATTGATCAGTTTTCACTAATAAAGGATCTGCCTATCAAAGCAGAATGTCAACTTGAAACTGCTCAACGACACAAGATTGACGTCTCGCAAACGGAGTCACACGTGGTTTCATATACGCCTCCATATATAGGTACATAAGCATCCATGCGAGCATTCCTTAGACTATACATCGTGACAGAAAATTTGCTCTTTACAATTTCATGATTGCGGCTTGTCGAGACCAGATAGAAGCGCGGTCATTTTCATGTATTGAAATAAGTCACGATTTATGCATGTTAAACTATACCTGTCTCATCCCCAGACGCTATATAAAAGATTGCATTAAGTATTGCGGTGGCGTTTACAGGCGTGCATATCAACAACATTTCAGATCGATCTCTCTATCCTAACCCTAATCGTCGTGACGTGTTTTCGCGATAGTAGCATGACAAATGATGCCATACCAAATATAAACTTGATCAAAAGCATTCATGGCATTCTAGCTTCGGAACAAGTGTACTTGGACAAGAAAACTTAACTCTGAACAAGAAAACTTACTCGTCTGCAACCGGCTTAACTGAGTCATAATTTCGGTCAATTCGGCCCGAATGGACGAAGTCAATTGACGATGAAAATCGAAAAACCTGCCTGGACGCCACACAAAGGCCTGGACACCAAGCTACCTTTACTTTAAGACAAACAGACCAGTTAAGATTTAGCGGCCAATATTTTCTAGAATGTCCGCCAGGGAGACTACCGAAACCAACTTTCAAACTCAAATATATACTTGACCAGATATACAGTTCCAAAACACATACACGAAGTACAATTTATAGCGCATAAACAGCTTTCTGAAATTTCGAGGAGCATAACCCTCTCCCCCTTCCCCCATGCAAGTTGGATCTGCCTCGTCTGATAAATAGAATGCATGAAAAACCATGGCCATGAAAATGTCTTGAAAGTGCGCCTTTGGAAAAATAATCCGTATTCTACTTGTTTGATGTAGTTGATGTCGTTGAAACAAGATGCATAAATATAAATCGATGCTTGCATGCATGAATCAGTCCATCGTAAGAAATGATTATGCACGTGCATTATCTTTTGACACGTTTCCTTGAGGCAAATAAAAAACACTACAAGGGTTTCATATTTGCTGTGCAGCTATATGTCATGTCACGTCTGTTTACCGCGGGTATTTGCATAATAAACAGAGAAACTATGGACACATCACTCCTACAATAAGAATTCATCTTAATTTAATTGCGGTGCCAAAACAAAGTTAGGCATTGCTTCATTAGTATATTCACTGCGTGAGTTTGCTAGTCTGTTTGGAATCATAAGCCTTGGTATTATTTTCAAAAGTAGTATATCTTCGCGCGTTCGTGGTCCACGTGATGTTTTGCGCATGATCCAGGAAACTAGGTCTGGTTTTACATTTTTTCGTGAAGCAAATAACAAACAAATGAAAAATTTTCAAAGGTCACGTCCGCACTGCCGGGAACAGCGGGTTTTGGACGATAAACACAATGCGATAAATTATTTAAAACATCGACTGAATCCTCCGCAAACACTTAACGCGGTCTACTTCTGACATTTTTTTTATCAATGAGAATCTATTTTTTTTTGAAGTTTTTGACAAGTGAACGCGGTGAAGATGTTGTCGGAGACAAAGAGCTCTGTAAATAACTGGAGTTCAAATGAATGAGTAACTACACTTGACAGTTTCTAACACTTCTTCGGGGCTGTTTTTGGTTTCTTTGTTATTGTTTCCTACTAAATTCCATTTGGTGTTTATATGGGAACCGAGTTGGCCCATTTAAAGGGGGGTCCCGCCTCGACTGACCCGAGATCTCGGGTGACTGGGCCGGGAATTTCCCATATAAATGCAATTACCCAGGCTGGCTCGCCTAAGCGGGTTGAGTGTTATTGCTCTGTTCACGCGAATATATTGTTGTAAATAAGATTTTCTCAACTGATTTCGATCTTAAAAGGTCTCTGTGTGAACGATTCTCTGTGTTATAACCGTGAAAGTTGCTCGCGAAAGTGTGAATTTCAAGTTCTTGAGAAAATATATTTATATTGTACTATTTATAGTGGTTTGTTTTAAAAGTCTCATGTAAACACGGGATGAAATCGGCTCGGCAAAACGAGCAAGCTCGGGTTTCCGGGCTAGTTCGCCTCCATATAAACACCCCCTTACAATACAAATTTATTTAAAGGTGCTCTACAGTCTGTATGTAAACAAAGCCTTTGTTTATATTTTTGTGTCCAAAATATTGAGCTTTATTCGACAACTATTTATATTTTCAAGCTTCTACAGTATAATAAATGATCAAGAAACAATAATCAGGCTTTTCAAGAACCCAAAACATAGTTAAACTGTTTGTATCATAAAAAGTGGGCTCCTTTGTGCACATGCGCAGATCGGACTGTAGATCACCTTTAAAACTGTCAGAAGTGAAAATTTAAATGCGTCTTTTGTTCAGGGGCATTTTTCTTGGCATCGACTTTACTTTTTCGGCAGCTAGCAATGAATTTATGTTTTTTGTCACCAGGTAAAATTACAGTGTCAAGAGTAGTGCTTTTTTTTCGGAATTGTACACAGACCGCATTGACGTTTTAAAACGGTATGAGAAACACAAACGGCAAACTTCAAATATTTTGATCTCAACTGTTGGCTGTTCAAAGTTAAGACAAATTACGCATCAAAGTTGAAGCATGAATTGGCTACCTAAATGGCTGTCGAAAACTTGCAAAACTTTGCCATTTGCGGTCTCAACCGTGCAATTTCTGCAGAGCAAATTAACAAAACAAGAGCAGGGCCTGGAAACGAGGCAGGAAAAATCAACATGGCGACAGACATTTTGCCGACTTTTTGGAAACTTTTAACTGAAAATCGTGCGTGAATTTACACAATTAAATACAAGGGGTCGGCACGAAGCTCTAGGAAACGAGGTTGTTCTGTGACTGGTTGATTATGACAATGACAAAAGAATAAGGTATAGAATGAATTTTCTAAAGAACGAAGCAAGAACAATATTCCTTTTGTTTATGTAAGCCAATTACAGCTTTCGTCATTGTCATAATCAACCAGTCACAGAAATCTTCCTAGAGCTTCGTGTTTACTGGAATACAAGGGACACATAGACTGAAAACGTTTGCTAATGGAAGCAATGCTTAAATGGCACATGGAGAGTATGCAGGTGTTATCGAAGAGTGTACTTCTTTCATGTATATTATGAGAGTGTAATTGTTCATGTTTATTATATGGCTTTTCAAAATTCTCTATTCTGATTGGTTGACAAGCGGTCCGTAAAAACCCTTATCCGGACCGTGGTCCGTATTTTCCGTATCTGGACCGGTGTCCCGCGGATGTCGTTTATCTGGCGGGGAATTTTTGCTTTGCAAACAGAAAAAATTTTTGCTTTTTAATTTTCCAATTGTGTGTCATTAAAATTTACGGATAAAAATTTCAAACAACCAAATTGTTTTTGATTGAGCATGCATGCCTACCGTATATTTTTAGCCAGTGAAACTGACGATAGCCAATTTAATTCGCGCGAAAAGCATATGCTCGCAGACTCAGTTCAGCCATATAATAAACCGATCATTGACCTCGCTTGTTCGGTCTGTACTGTGAAATATCAGACCTCTGTTTTTTGCATGGACCTCGCTCCTTCGTCGCTCGGTCGATCCATACTAAAAAATAGGTACGCGACGCGTACATGTATCTGCGAAAAAACTTGATTCACATTTTGTATTTTCTTGAAAGAAACTGAATAATTAACTAAATGAAGATGACATGGCAAGCGCTCCCCCACTACCCCCGCACCGAGAAAATTTAACTAACTTTATAATGTGATTATGATTGTAACAGATAATTATGCAGTCAGGAAATAAAAATTTCATGCAAACAATATTCAAAGTGTCTATACAGCCGGCTATTTAGTAAACTGTCACCTGTCAATTCAATCCATACTCATCAAATTTTCAAAACTTTATTGTAATCATATGAAGCAAAAGTTATGTCACTTGTTGTTTACACTTGCCAATGTTAACTGCTGAGTAACATACACAAAATATTTGGTGAACATGTCGAAGACCACTGAATAATTGAGAATGTTTTGAAGGTCATGAGTGAAGTATATAATTAAATTCCAGTTCTGTGCACAGTTAATGATATACCACACTGTTCGGTTTAACACGTACAGCACACTCACACAAAAACAATCGTGTTGTGGGAGATTATCGGTTTGAGTAGAAGGTATCACAAGTTTAGTTTTGTACATTGTATGCCATTGATCAAATCCACCATATAATATATGATTATTCATTGTAACTGTTAAGTTATTTTCCATACTAATGAATTTAGGTAAGATTGTCTTGCAAGTTGGTTGTTCTGACAAAATTATCCAGCCAATATCCACTACATTTATTCTTCATTCTTGTATTAATCTCTAAAGAAAAATATTTATGTTAGAAAGCAAAGGGAGGGAGGAAGGCTCGGGAGGGTGAGGATTGTTTTAATGTGTAAAACCAAAATGTATAAGTATTTTACACGTAACTGATAACATCTTCAACCTTTGCTCTAACACTACATTTGATGACAGCTTTATAGTTGCATCGACTGTTGTTATGGAGTCAATATACAGAAATACAGGGCCAGGATTTAATTCAATATCTCCTGAGAACTGTTCAATAGGTTCCTTTGATATTGTTAATTGGCAATATTGCCTGCTATGTTTTCACTGTTTAAACTATTACAGAAGTCACAGAAGGATTGTTTTTAATACTGTATAAATCTTTTTGTGAACTATGTTGACAAATGGCTTAAAATATCCTCGAAAATACCCAACATTTTTATACAGTGTAATATATTAATAAAAAAATTCCAGAGTGCAATAGTGCATTCCATGTAAACTCTACGCCGAAGATACGGCAATATCAATTCTTTATTCCGTGGCAATATAAACTATAGTCAGTATAGTATTAAATATTTGCCGAACTGGCGAACTCATGTATTATTAAATAATATGTGGGACATATATTTGCACAAATTTGGTATTTAAATATATAATATGTGGTATTTGACTACTTACCAGATGAGGATAAGATTCCATGTTGATAAATAACTTCAATTCAAGATAAATTGATAAAAATATCAAGATATTTTTGAAAGAATAACACGATTTATACACGAGGCCTGACGAGGCTAAAGTATGCCCGTTCGCAGGTTAGATGCGGGCACGATGTAAACAATTGATGTAAACGAATCGCTGATTGGCTTAAATTGGCTTAAATTATATAAGCTCGTCGCTGAATGGCTATCTGTTAACATACGGTACGGTACGGTACGTTTGCGATGGCATATATATCTGCTTCGCAGATACAAAAATATTAACAGTAAATTGTAGTTATGGTTTCAAATCTCTTGACTTTCTTTGCCGGGGACGAATATTCGATCAGATCTGATAAATAAATATTAAATACATAGTCAGCATATAAATCCAATGCAATAGAATCCCAGCATAGAATTTCTGACCAAAATTACTATTTAACAACAGTTAAACAAAGCATTTACCTGAATATAAACGACATCGTAGCATAAACAAAACATTTACCTGAATATAAACGACATCGTAGCATAAACAAAACATTTACCTGAATATAAAAGACATCGTAGCAGACAACAGCACATGTCGATTTGGTCACAGCGTGCTGCACTGAATATCGCACAAACGCACTTTTAGGGCAGCCTTGTTAGCGTAATATTCTTTCCGCGTTCTCTTGTTGTTTTATATGTTTCAATAATTTACTAATAGGTGGATTTGGTTTCATAAAAGTCGCAAATTTGTTGAAACCTTTTCGAATTCTATATAAATATTTTACATTCACTCCCCATCACCTCATGTGGAATATAAACATCGCGCGTGTATATCGCCAATTATGGGACTGGAAACGAGAGGTTTATTTCCGGTGGAGTCCCCTGTAAACAAGCGCCGGGCACATGCGCAGAAGGGATTTATCCCCCTCTTTAACGCACGGACAGGAACTGACACTAGGGGCGTAACTTGAATGTATACATTAGGATGCACGTGCGTGGATGATAGTTGTAATAAATATAATAATTGTAATATAATTCACCATGTAAATACCACCGTGTCCAGGCATATTTTTCAAGATTACCCGGTGTGGATACACACTCAGAGGAACATCCCGAACATCATACTCACATGCATGAGTACATACATACAGTAACATCAACACAGAAAAAAATCATGATTACTAGATTGCATTGATATCGAAGGAACTAGACCGAAATATCACGTACTCAAACCGGCCTGACCGCGTAACTCAGTTGGCAGAGCATTGGGCTAGTATATTCCATAGGTCGTACGTTCGATCCCACCGTGGCCCGGCATATTTTTCAAGCTTTTCAAGCTTGCCCAACACAGAAAAAAACCACTATAACTATTTTTTAGAGTTATATTTTGACATTTTACCTTTTTACTTGTAAACTGATGTACAGTAATTCAGTCTTTGGCTGCAAAATTGGTCCTTTTAATAAATCATTAATAAATTAAATCATTGTGGTCAGAAAATGACATGAACCCACGACATGAACCCACGACATGAACTAGAATGCGTTGCAAGAGGCTGACCTCGTTTCAGTTACATAACGGAAGAGAGATTCTAACGAAAGATTTTTGACGAGATTTATCTCTTGCATGCACTATTGCCCGCAATAAATCAAACTACCGTAAATTTGAGGAAGAAACGCATGTTGAACGGTTCCAGAAAAGCTTTTTAACAGCAAATGCTATTATAACAAAATATTTTAGTTATTTATACTTTCTTAATATTTTTAGTGTATATAGTATATAATTCTTATTCTATATAAGTTAAAATTGTCAAGTAGTTGAAATATAATTAAGATGACTAAATTTGAAAATTTTTTTGTTAAATTTTTAATTTAATTTAATACGTCGTTTCGGAGTTTACTCAATCAAACTCCGAAAGACCGAAACGTCGTATTAAATAAAATAAAAATTTTTAGCCTTTTTATTGGTCATTATAAAAAACAAAAAGAATATATTATTAAAATGAGGCTAAGGGAAAGTTCGATACTAAATATCTACTAAATTTTAATTTTGTTTCTATCCAGGTTGTTCTCATCTTAAGCGGCAACCTAAGTTTTCTCAACTGGCTGACAATCCTACCGAGTATAATGTGTTTTGATGACAGAGCTCTCGCCTGGTGTTTCACTGTCTCGTCACATGCACGAAGACAAGTGTGTAAAATACAGAAATTATACCATGATGGACGTTCACCAAGACCTACAAGAGGTAAGATACATTATACTCAACTGTCTGTGCCAGTGTAGATAGCGCATGGCAATAATGAGAAAGCTTCGGATTGATACATCGAGGAATCAGGAATTAGGATTTATTCAAATTACATCGCAGCAAAAGCTGAATTACGTAATAGTTACAAAATATCATGTATTAAACTATTGCATCTATTCACATTAAAAATATTTAAAATTACAGCTACTGTAGCATATTCAACATGACTTATTGCACTTTTTTTTGTGTTGTTGGTGTTATCGGACTTATTGCACATGGCAGATGCAACTATAACTGAAAAATACAGTTAGTGACTAACCTCCAGACGAAGGGCCTTTGCTGGAAACGTCGAATTTCTTCTTGTATTTTTTCAGGTTGTTGCATCTCTTTCAACCCGAAGCTTTCTCAAGATATTTTATATAATAACTACAGTGAAACGCGCAATTTGATTGGTCAATACCCGTGCAGGATCAGACAATCTTGCACAGAAAATTTAAATGCCTTCGCGCGGGCTTTTTAAATCGTCGGACAATGAAAACATTTTAACGTGTTAAGATAACTGTATATTGAACGAGAGACAAGTTAACAAAACGTTAATAAAATTATAATAAAGTTAACCGTTTAAATAACGTTTAGATAACCGTTGTTTCACTGTAGTTGTTTTATAAAACAACGGCTCGTATTTTTACGGAAACCCATTTGTATTCCTGCACGGAAAACCATTTTGTATTCCTTTAATTCACTGGGAGCCTACAGGAGTGACGTAACTCTATTAACCACCCCTTTTGATACCCCTTCCTACTCTTATATACCCTCCCTCTCATGAGAAAAAGTGGGTAAATACCAACCTGAAATAAATAGGTTTGTAGTTCCGCAATAATTACTGTGTGGAAAGTACAACGTGAAACTACATTCATAAGACCTAACAGGCAAAACTTATGTTCGATGCCATTATTATACGCTAGTGAATAGAGTTTGGTGTTTTTGCCTTTTCACCCCAATAGACAATTTGGTACATGAGCAGCATATTCATTCTTTAGTTATGTTGTGTTTCGTTGTTATAATCATCCAATCCTAAAACCTGTTCATATATCTTGCTGGCCATCCTACTGAGAAGATTGTCCTTACCGTATTCGGAGAAATAATGTAGACCCTCTGCTCTATCAAGACTCTATTGAGCCACTCAAGGTTCTTGAAATACAGTGGATGAGCTGTCTGGTTATACAGATACTTCAAGTTAAGCTGTCATTCACTTTTAAACTGTCGTGGATTTGACAAGTAAAATAAATTATTACTTAGGTCTTCGAATACGTTGGATAATGGAAGTATTCCTTGGTCTACTGTTGGCATATCTCAGTATACCTGTTCTACAGAATCTATTTTCATCTCGGCAAATTATGAACACATCGTTTGATTCTCTTCGTATCGTTAATACATACGGCGCTTTTGGCAGGTAAGGCTTTGTTTGGACAAACTTTGATCAATTGAAAGGAATATACAGTATACCTACTGTATATGAATGTATCAAATGCATGTAAACAGTCTGTGAAAACTCGTATATTTGAATGATGTTAACTAGTCTCTCCGATTATGAATAAAGAACAATATATTTTACCAAAAAGCTATAAAAGTGTACATCTTCGAATGATTATCTATCAGTTTTTCTTGTTCGAGCCTAGAGCCGTCGAGAGCATGCTCTCGACCCAGTCTTTTTCTCTCGGCCGGAAACTGCGTTACTAATTAATTATGTCATAAATTAACAAAACTAAACATTAATAATATGCTTCTCAACATTCCCCCTCTCCACACTGAAGTCTAATACAACAGTGTGAACAAACAATGTCCAACTTTAATTAATGTCAAAATATTAACTGTCCGATATTACACGTCCAACGGAATTAGTTTGTGTATGGGCCTAATATATGTCTTTTGGCCACATTGTACTTTCGTGACTCTTGTATGTCCGTCCTTCCCGGGATAAACATCAATGATTCGTCCTAGCGGCTAATCTCCCCGCGATAAACCTTGTTGCATGACCAAGACCACATTACCCACATTTAAATCTTTGACTATTTCCGACCACTTCGGTCTTACCTTCAACAATATGGTAAACATTCCTTGAGCCATCTCCGCCACACCAAAGAAACCAAATGCTGTACCATTCTCCAACGCTGTCGAGGATGACATTCTTTACGAATTTCTGATTCTGGCGCGAACTGTCCGCGTCCTTAGATGGTAACGAATGGCCCAGCAAAGTCGATACCACACTGTTGGAATGGACGGTACGTGAAACGTAATCTAACTTTCGGTAAAGGTGCCATTATCTGGATAGCTGGCTTGCTGCGTCGTCTTTTGCGGTGGTTACACTGATTTTCCCATTCACGTATCTCCTTCCTCGCTGCAATGATCCAATATTTTCTCGTTAATTTGACTTAGGATGAAATTCACTCCGGCGTTGTGTGGTTAGCTTTCTCGTGATAATCCTTAACAATCAGCCTTGCGATCCAGTGTCTTCTCGGAAGTATGACTGGATGACGTACGTCGTACGGTAGCTGTTCTGCGAATTTAAGGCGTCCATCTGAGCGAATTAAACCGGCTTCATCAATGGTAGGGTTTAACTTGACAAGCGGACTGGTTTTTGGCACCGGTTTGCCACTCTTGACGGTGTCGTAATCACCACGAAAACCTTCTTGTTGAGCCAAACGAATCTCTTCCTCTTCCGCTTCTTGGAGTTCATCAATTGTAAGCTCTGAGTCCGTTCTTCTTTGATCACC